TCATTAGGGGATATCAAATAAAGTTAAAATATTACATTCTTAATACCATTTGAAGTTCTCATGGTCTAGTTTTACATGTCGCTAACGATGCATGAAACAACCAACCATTATAAATGTTATGGCACATCAAAGTAGCCCATTTCAAATGCTAACTTTAAAAATTTTTCAACGATCGTAAGCCAGTCGAACCTATAAGTCGTCTATGTTATCTCGAAATGAGTTTTGAGAACTATATTATAGATATATCAAATAGTCCAAATGTATATTGAAAATAGTTAAACATGCTTCAAATGTACGTCTTAAAAAGAGACGTTTAACTAGTAAACCCAAAACTTAAAAATTTTCAATTATTTCATTAACGTTTATTATTTATGTGCAACAAATTTTTCAATATAATTTACATCATTTTATTAGGTAATTTTATATGGGCTATAAAGTCAAAAAAAATTCCAATGTAAAGATGTTAAAAAAAAAAAAAAATTATTACTATCGATTGGGTATGAATTTTTGGGTTTACAAGTTAAATGCCTCTTTTAATGACTACGTTAGATGAACATTTATTTATTTTCAATATTCGTTTAAACCATTCGATATGTCTATAATGTAGTTCTCGAAATTATTTTTGAGATGACGTAGGTGATTTATAGGTCCGGGTATCGTAGGATAAGTTTTCAAAATAAGCATGTTATTGAAATTTTTGACATATTTATTTAAAATGGGTTACTTTGACGTGTCGTAAAATTTGCTATGATTTTTCGTTTTATGCGTCATTAACGATTGGAAAACTAGGACATGAGTACTTCAAAATTGTATTAAAAAATATAATATTTTGATTTCTTTTGATATCCCGTAATAACCCGAAAATTGAGACAAAAATTAATTCGTAACCACCAATAAATTTATTTCGTGGTCTTCTATTTGGAGAAATAAAGTTCTTTGTTTCTTTTTAAAAGCCACATTAGCTTACAACTACTCAACTAGAGCAATCCTTTTTTATTGCTGTGATGTAGGCACGTACGAGTAGCGCCATTGTTTTTCACACTAATGGGATGGTTGCAAATGTGGGCCGCGGGTAGTTTAAAGGTGGGCCTAATTGCAGGCCGTCAAAAGAGCTTATAAGTCAACTTTTTAAGCATTGCCAAACATGCTGTAAACGAAGAGACCGAATTGTGACATGTGAACCCGCCTGAACTAAATTCGAATTCCCAATTTTCCTTTCCAATTCTCATTTCGATTTCTTTTCGCCAGATCACATATAATCAATCTTTCCTCTTTCTCTTTAATCACAAAATCGCTGCTTTTATCCCTAATGAAATATTAACCTGTGAAAGAGGCGGCCATGGAAGGAGAAGGAAGTTCGGAGATGGAATTCACGAATATCGAGACAACAGCAGAGTCACTAGACACTTCTGTGATTTTTCACGTCGTTATCGATATTCTTGGCTTCATTCTTTTCATGCATCAACAAATTCCTTCGTAATTTGCTTGCTTCTTGAAATAATTATTTTAAAATTTATTTCGAAAGTGAAAAATACTCTCCTTAATTATTTGATTATTTATGTAATTTATTGGCAGTGTATTGCAGGATATTAGTCAGGAATTTGATGAATTGCGTGCCGAGTACAACGATTTGGTGAGTGAATTTCGGGCTGAGCTTAAATTTTAAATTGCAACTAAAATCTCTTATATTAACTTATTTTTACGGTAAGTTTAGGGTTGCTTCCCAAAAAGATTACCCTTTTTTTTTTCTCTTCTTAGAAGTAATAAAGTAAGTAACCAAGCTTGTTTGAGGTTTAGCCAAACATGCTCTAAAGTAAAATTTGGAAAAGGATTCTGAATGTATTGAATTGTTATTGATTGGGAGGTGGATCTCACTCCACAAAGTGAAGTGAAGCCAGTGTCATTAAGGAGAAAGCAAGCTGCAAGAAGAAGAGAAGTAAAAATGGGAATTAGAAGGCTGGAAAAATTGATGAATACTATTTCTAATCTCAAGACTGCTGTTCAAGTAATGATCACTGAGGTTCCCAATTTGGAGACAATTATTCTGGTTCTTGGACCAAGTCCCTTAAGGCCTCTACATGTTTATGAGCTGTGTTTTTTACAAGGAAGGATTGTTTCGGGTGATTTTGGTCGAAGTAAAGTTACTGAAGGGCTTTCAAGAAAGGTCTGATGAGTTCTTATAGTGCATTGCATATCTACATTCAGTGAAACCGATTATTGATCGAATTGTTACTTTGACGTAGGCGATACGTACATTGATATCAAGGGGCGCAGGATCAGATTCGTATGCTGGTACTTAAAGAATGTTTATTTATTTACAACCGCTAGATCAAATTTGCCATCACTTTAATGATTTCTGTGTTTGTAAAAACTTTAGGTCCGACGAAGTTGTTTGTACTAGTTAAAGCTCCCTCTTCATTCAATATTCCTATGCATTTTCTCCCCAAGCGCGAGTTTAGATACAATAGGAAGGTAAAAATCCGAACTTTATCGTTTTCCGATTGGTATCACTGTTGCTGTTTTTGAATATTTTTCTTGTTTGAAACTTGCATTCACTTTTTATCTAAATCTTTGGTTTCATTTGGTTATTCATTTTGTTATTCATTCATAGATTTACTGATATACATCATTTGAGTCAATGTGGATTTTTTATCTTAA